CCCCCCCGGGCAGCATCCTCCCCTCGGCAGCATCCTCCTCACCGTGGCTCGAATCCGGCAGCTCCCTGCCTCCTGCCTGCAAAGGGATCTCTGGCAGCTGGGACCCATAAAATGCCATCACCCAATTGGGTGTATTTTTGGGGGGAATAAAGAAACTGGGTGTTTTGAGGGTGCTTGGAGGGGTGGGAAGGGCTGAGTCCTGGCACACCTGCAGTGCCAAGAGGAGGAATCCAGTGAGCAAACAGCCCGTGTTGCCTTTCCACAGCACCCCGGAAAATATACACAGCTCATCCTCCCCTTTGTCTGCCCCTTAATTAAGGGGGAGGTAATTGTGGGGAGCTGGGGGGAGGATGGGTGAGGAGGGAGCTGTGCCAATCAGAAATACGCTGGCATGCGGGGACACGTGCGCTTTGTCACGTGTGAGTCTGGGATTCGCAGCCAGTCCCGTGTGTCTGTCTGTGGGGGTCTGTGACTGTCGGTCTCTTTTGTTGGGGAAGTGGGTCACTGTACCCCTGCCACCAGAATCCCCTGGCACCTTACTCTCCAGGGGTGGTGAGGGACAAGGGGGACACAACAACCTTCTCCCCATCCTTCCCTTTTCCCTCAGGATGGAGCCGGTGGCCCCGCTCCGTGTGGCTCTACTGGCTGGAGGTCAGGGAGAGACCTCCACCCCACGTGTCCTCTCAAACGGCATCTCCAAGTGCTGCTTCCTGCTTCTCAAGTTGGTATTTTTTACAATGTGATGCTCCAGCTGGAGCATCCTCCACCACGCTGGCAGCCCTGGCAAGGGATGGCATCGGTGGTCCCCGTTTGGGTGCTTCCTGTCACCCAGCCATGGGTGCTGCTGGATGGGACCGACTGTTCCTGCACGAGCCCCGGGTGTCTGAGGGTGCTGGGGCTCCTTGTGATGGGTGCTGGGGCTCCTCGTGGTGGGTGCTGGGCAGGGGTGGGTAGTGTGTTTGTACAGGAGGAGTGGAGCTGTCAGGACAGTGTCTTTGCAGTGGGAAGAGACCTGTCTGGGTCCCTGTCTCACCATGGTGGTGTGTTCCCGGTGAGGTGTGCCGTGCTGCTCTCCTGCAGGTCCCATGGTCCATTCCCATGTCCGTTGGCCATGGGGTCCCTCTCCCCCGTGGTGATCAGGACTTTCCTCCTGCCCTTCCTGGTAGCAGCCAGGTCTTGGGCAAGTTCATAGAATCTGGACATGCCTGGTGGTTGTTCCTCCTCCCGCATCACCCCATGGCTGTGCCGCTTCCTTACAGATCTCCGACATCTACATCAGTGGGGAGTCAGGGGACATGTCAGCCAAGGAGAAGCTGACACAGAAGGTGACAGCAGGTTACATCGGCGTGAAGTGCACCAACTTCTCATCATGCTGGAGTGATGGGAAGATGTTCAACGCGCTCATCCACAGATACAGGTAGGAGCAGCGGGAGAGCATCGTCTGAGTGGGAGGAAGGGTTGGAGACACAGAATCACAGAATGTCAGGGATTGGAAGGGACCTCAAAAGATCATCCAGTCCAACTCCCCTGCCAGAGCAGGAACCTAAATGAGATCACACAGGAAGGCGTCCAGGTGGGTTTTGAATGTCTCCAAAGAAGGAGACTCCACACCCTCCCTGGGCAGCCTGTTCCAGGGCTCTGGCACCCTCACTGGAAAGAAGTTTATTCTCAAGTTTAAGCAGAAGAATCACAGAATGGTGGGGTTGGAAGGGACCTCTGGAGATCATCTAGTCCAGCAGGGACCTCCTAGGGGTCCCTGTCCACCGCTGTGGTTGGTGATGGTCTGGAGAGAGAATGGACTGGGGAGAGAAGCAAAGAAGAAAAGCTTTTAAACTGGGAGATCCACGGTGCTTCACGTGTCAGTGCTGCCCTTTCTGCGCTCCGTGAGGAGCAGCACTTCCATCCACACTTCCATCCGAGGACCTTGGAGCTCTCCCAAGCAGCAATTAAACCTCTCGCAGCTCCTTGAGAGACAGCACAGCCCCGCACACCTTCTGCCTGCTCAGCATAGGCAGCCAGTCAGAGCTGGGGACAGCAGGGCTGGCTTCTCCCCCAGCTTCTTGGTCAAGGGGACCTGGCATGGCCCTGAGAGCCTGGAGAACAGCAATGACCTCGTGAGAAAGCATCTCCTGGCAGCTGGAAATAGCACTGCCTTCCTGTGCTGCTCCGTGGCTGGGAGGAGCGAGCAGGGCTTGGCAGGGAAGGTCACCCAAGGCTCCTGCAGGCAGGGGTGGGCAGGAGATGGGATGCGTGGTGGGCAGCAGAGTCGTGATGCAGAGACTGGGGTTCTCCTGTCTCCACTGTACTCGTTTGCAGTTCGGTTGTGCAGCGGTTCGCTGGTGATGTTCTGTTCCCAGCGCAGGGCTGGCAGCACCTGTGCCTACCACCTTCCCTCTGCTCTGCTGCAGACAAAGGGCTGTGCCCGTGTCCTTCAGAGAGGTGTCACCACCCGCTTTGGGGCTGTTGTGTGCACCCACCCAACACGCTGGGTACAGAGCGGGTGCTGGAAAGGGCAGATCCCTGAGGAGCATGAGAGCTTTTCCTGCACAGCCTGAGCATCCCCCTCCCCAAAGAGAATGAACTGGGGAGATGCTGCAGCCCAGGTCCCCTTGGAGAGACACCAACCTGGGACAGGGATTTGGATGAGCCCTTGGGAGGCAGCTGGAACAGTGGTGCCCATTGGGATGCTCTGCTCTGGACACCGCGTGCTGTTTGCCAGCGTTGTGACTCTGGTGTGTGTCTTGCAGGCCAGATCTGGTGGACATGGAGAGGGTGCAGATCCAGAGTAACCGGGAGAACCTGGAGCAGGCCTTTGAGATCGCCGAGCGGCTGGGGGTCACGCGGCTGCTGGATGCCGAAGGTGGGCAGCTGGGTGAAGTGGCTGGTGTGGGGAGATGCCAGCCTCTCTGCCCACTCCTGTTCCTCACTGCCTTTCTGCTCTCCCCTTGTCAGACGTGGATGTCCCCTCTCCGGATGAGAAATCCGTGATAACTTATGTGTCTTCAATCTACGATGCCTTTCCCAAAGTCCCCGAGGGAGGAGAAGGGATCAGCGCTATCGTAAGCATCGCTGTGGGGTGGGTGGGAGGCTGGGACAGTCATCTGGGAGGCAGCTGGTTGTTACGGGGTTTGGAGGTTCCCTGTCCACTGTAGCAGATGGCCAATGGGTGGAAGAGGCTTTGGGGAAGGAAGGAGCTTCCCCGTTAGCGTATCTGCCCTGAGAAGTGCTGCTGTGCCTGTAGGTCCGTGGTGTTCTCCAGGCTCTGCCTGGGGTTTTGAGCCCATGGGAAAGCTGAGCTGGTTTCTAGGGAGCAGCTTGCAAGGAGGATCCTTCTCCTTCCTGGGATGGCATCATAGCTGTGACCATGGCACCTCGGTTCCCTCTGTGCTCTGCTTGGCAGGGCCAGGCTCTACCTCTTCCTTGCGGAGACCTGCCCGCTGGCAGCACTCTGCAAAGGAGCTCTCACCCCTCAGGAGGTGGATTCGAGGTGGCTGGAGTACCAGAGCCGTGTGGAGTCCCTCATCTCATGGATCAAACAGCACACGATACTCATGTCAGATAAATCCTTCCCCCAGAACCCTGTAGAGCTAAAGGTAGGTCCTGGACAAGGTCCATTCACAGTGTCCCATGTGCTCAGCACGGAGAGCTGGGAGGTGGCATTCCCTGGGGTGGTTTCTGATGAGCTTTTCTTGTTCCAGGCACTTTATAACCAGTACATACACTTCAAAGAAACTGAAATCCCAGCGAAAGAGCAGGAAAAAGGAAGGATAGAGGAGCTCTACAAACTGTTAGAGGTAAAGTATCATCGTGGCTACCCAGAGACTTGTGGGTGGGAGTGTTGTGATTTTTAGCAAGACTAAAGTGTGCTCAGTTCAGGTTTATTTTGGAATGGAGAAGTGGAAATAACCCTCAGGGTAGATGATGTAGCAAGCTGCGCGCTGCAGGAGCGGAGACAGAGCTGTTGCCTTACAGCCCCGCTTTCCTTGCTGGAATCTCTCTCTAACCAACTGGAGGAGGAGGTGGGAAATGCCATTCCGTTGATGTTTTTCCTCAGGTATGGATTGAATTTGGACGCATCAAGTTACCCCAGGGCTACCACCCCAACGACGTGGAGGAGGAGTGGGGCAAACTCATCATAGAGATGCTGGAGCGTGAGAAGCTCCTGCGGCCGGCGGTGGAGAGGTCAGTGCTCTGCCCATGGCAGGCAGGGTCCCCTGTGGGGATGTCCCCTGCCCCCCTGGCTGGAGGGACATCCCAAAACCTCTCATTTTCTTTTCCTCTGTCATTGCAGGCTGGAATTGCTGCTACAAATTGCTAACAAAATCCAGAATGGTGCTCTGAGCTGTGAGGAGAAACTCACTCTTGCGAAGAACACGCTGCAGGCTGTGAGTGGGGGGGGGATGGTTATTTTCCCTCTCCTGATTTATTTTTTAAATTTTTTGTTTTCCTGCCTCTTTTTTTACACCCATATCTGCCCCTGTCTTCTCCATGGGGTAGTGGGTTCCCCTGGACAGCTTTTCTTTCTCTTCTGACACTGAGCCTGTCCTAGAGGGGCTATAGCGGTGATGGTGGATACCTGGTGATCTGTGGCACGAGGACCTTGGGGACAGGGGGACAGGGGAAGGGCCTTGCCATGCAACTGGCTGCCTCTGGGGATGCAGCTAGTGAGGCTGAATGTCTGCAGAGGTGCTGGATTGGAGGGGAACTGCAGTTCTGGGAAAGCTTGTGGTATAATGAGGCATCAAACCACAAAAATGTGGTTTATTTGTCTAAAAGACTGTTAGAAAGGACTCGGGTGCTGCCTTGGTAGGGAGTCGATTTCTAAAGAGGGGGATTTTGTTCCTGGAGAAAGAGATGTCAGGGTTGGGAGCTCAATATGGTTAAACCCAAGCAAGACATGAGATGCATGTTTAAGTGACTGTCCATGGGACTAGAAGCTTTCAGTTCATCTGCAGGAGCTTTTCTAAAGGGGATGTCCTGGGTGTGGTGTGAGCGATGAGCTCATGTTCTTCTGCTCAAATCAAGCTTGTGGATCAAATGGTCTTTTTGATCTTGAAGTTGATGCTGGGCTGCTGCCCTGGTCTCTCTGCCCACGTGTCTGGGCTGAGGGGACCCAGCCCTCAGTCTCCTCTCTCTCGGTGCAGGATGCTGCTCACCTGGAGTCAGGCCAGCCAGTGCAGTATGAATCCGACGTGGTCGTGTATCTGCAGGAGTGTGAGGGGCTCATCCGCCAGCTCCAGGTGGATGTGCAGATCCTTCGGGATGAAAATTACTACCAGCTAGAGGAGCTGGTGTTCAGGTGAGAGGGGCCATGTCCAAGATGGTCTGCAAATGGAGAAGCATGGCCAGGGGCTGATGCATGGGGCTTCTCTGCTCTGTTGTGGGGAAGGAGGGGGTGTGTGTGCATCTTCTCACCCTTGCCTTGCTTGTTCCTCCAGGATCATGCGGCTGCAAGATGAGCTGGTGACACTGAGGCTGGAATGCACTAACCTGTACAGGAAAGGCCACTTCTCCACCCTGGAGCTGGTGCCCACTTCAACGCTGACCATGACACACTTGAAGGGTGAATCCCTGACAAAAGGGCTGCACACCTCCTCTGCCTCCTGGTTCCGGAAGCCCATGACCAGAACAGAGCTGGTGGCCATCTCCTCTTCTGAAGATGAAGGCAGCCTCCGGTTTGTGTACGAGCTGCTGGCCTGGGTGGAGGAAATGCAGGTGAGTCCTGGCTCTCTGGGCCAAGTTACCTGCCTCTGCTCACACTGATGTGGGAGGGTAGGAAGCTGGTCTGGGCTTTTTCCTGCTTTCATCTCTGAATAATTGCTTTGATGGTTCAAAGTTTCTGGAACGGCCTCGAGTTGGTCTTTCTCTCTTGTGATGCTGCTGATCAGTGGTTATCAGAAGATCCTTTCAAAGCTGGAAGCAAATCTGTACTGATGTATTCAGTCCTTTGGTCTTATGTGGGTGTGAAGCTTGTGTAGGGTTGGAACACTGGCTTAGGACCTTCTGCCAGGATTGATGTGGTGTTTGTTCCCTCTTAAGTGACCTAGAAAGTTTCATTGCCCTTGTGGCCTTTTAAGATACGCTCCTGCAGATGAGGAGTGCTGACTTGGACTTCTTGGCCTGTTTCAGATGAGACTGGAGCGGGCAGAGTGGGGGACTGACCTGCCGAGTGTGGAAACCCAACTGGAGACCCAGCGGCACGTCCATACCAGCGTGGAGGACCTGGGTTCCAGCGTCAAGGAGGCCAGGATGTATGAGGTATGGTGGCATGGGCTGGGTGACAGTGTGTGACACAACATGTATGGGAAGGTGAGGGCATCAGCATGGACTTTTGGGGATAAAGGTGCCTGGGGCAGAGATATTTTTTAAGGATGGAGCTTCTGAATTGATGCTGGAGCTGCTGAGCCATCCTCTCCACCTCCTCTTGCTCACACAGAGCTGAGGAGAAAGATTTGGAGGTGGGGTTTCAAGTGGTGCTGTCCTGTGTCAGGTAACAGGAACATGTTTCATCCTTCAGGGTAAAATGTCTCAGAATTTCCGCGCTAGCTACACAGAGACCCTTGGCAAGCTGGAGACGCAGTACTGCAAGCTGATGGTGAGTGGTCTTCAAATGGGCTTCTAGCACTGCCTGAGGAGTGTGGGGTCCATCCCTGCTACCCTGCTCCAGAGCATCCCTGCTCTGAGGCTGGGAAGGGGGGAAGAAACTGGTCACCTTCAGAGCAGGGAAGAGGAATCACGCTTTGTTGTCTTCAGGAAACCTCGAGCTTCCGGCTGAGACACCTCCAGAGCTTGCACGGGTTCGTGTCTCGGGCCACTGCTGAGCTCATTTGGCTGAATGAGAAGGAGGAGGAGGAACTGGCCTATGACTGGAGTGACAACAACCCTAACATTGCAGCCAAGAAAAACTACTTCTCGGTCAGTGACCCCGGGGCAGGGCTGGTGGGGTGGCTGCTCTCTTGGTTGTGCTGCTGCTGCTGTTGCTTTTGATCCACTGTGGGATCTTCAGCTGCCAACAGACCTGAAGTTCCCAGAGGCTGGATGTTCCCTCCCAAGTCACTGAGCTTGTAGCTCCTGAGTGCAGCTGATGAAAGAGCTTGAAAGTGCAAAAAAGTGTTTGTTCAATTGAGTTTCAAGCAAAAAGGCATCAAAAAATGTCTTTTGAGCACTGTTTGGAACTTCAGCTAACAAGGGGAGAAAAAAAGTCTGAGCTAAAGAGGAAAATTGATTCTTCTTTAAAGCAGTGTAAATAAATTGCTCTTTCCATAATCACACTGCCTGGAACTGAAGAGGTCCCTGGGCAGAGGTTTCCAGTATCTCTGTTACATCTGCCCCCTGTGTTTGGTGCGCAGGAGGAATCGTGGTGGGGATGAGCTGTGGTGTTCCCATAAACCATGCTGGTTCCCCTGAGGTCTGCTGGTGTTTCCTGCAGAGCTTCCATCCTGCACGTTGTGTTAGTTGGACACGTGGTCTGAGTGAAGCTGCTCCCCAGAGCTGAGATTTGGATTTTGCTTGTGTCCTTCACACAGGAGCTGACGACGGAGCTGGAAGAGAAGCAGGACATCTTCTGCTCCCTCCAAGACACAGCTGAGCTGTTGTCCCTGGAGAACCACCCGGCCAAGCAAACTGTAGAGGTGAGCTGGGAGGAGCCCTGAGAATCAGCTGGCAGGAAATCTTCTCACCTGGGATTGGGAAACTTGCTGTCCCACCCCACGGTGCCCTCATGGGCAGCCAGGGCTGATGAAGGCAGAAGAACATCAGTGCAGTGATGGAGCTGTTTTATTCTGGGGAGTGCAATGAGAAGCTTGAAACCATTCCCAAATAATCCCCACCTCAAATTAAGACACAAATACACTTGTCCAGAGCATGAGCCTTTCCTGCAGCGAGGTTGGCCATGAGGAAAAGGTTCTTGAGGCAGAGGGTGGTGGAGCACTGGAACAGGCTCCCCAGGGAGGTGCTCATGGCACCAAGCCTGACAAGATTCCAGCAGCATTTGGCCAAGGCCCTGAGGGACATGGTGTGAATGTTGGGATTGTCCTGTGCAGGGACAGGAGCTGGACTCGATGATCCTGGTGGATCCAACTCACCACATCCTGTGATTCTGTGTTTTCTCCCTGGTGTTTCTCTCTGGGGTGGGAGCAAGTAAACCTGTGCCTGTGGCAACCACCAGCATTGCTGGTCCAGGATCTGCTGTCTCCTGCTTTTTGTGCCCGTGTCCAAACCCTCCTGGGTGCAGCCAGATCTCGCCTGTTTCTGTACCTCCCACTGGCTGTAGCTGTGTCCTTCCCGTGACCCCCCTGCCTGGTGAAGGCTGGTTACTCATGGCTCTTTGGTGTGTGTGTTTCTCAGGCCTACAGCGCTGCCGTGCAGACCCAGTGGCAGTGGATTAAGCAGCTCTGCCTGTGTGTGGAACAGCACGTGAAGGAGAACGCTGCCTATTTCCAGGTACTTGAGAGGTGCAGCCCAAATTTCCTTGGTCACCATCTGCTGCATCCCACTGTGTGGGCTTCATACACTGCTGCTCCCTTTGGGAAAGAGGGATTTGTGGTGCTCATGGGGGCTGCTTCCCCCTGAATCATCTCCTTCTCCTTAGCTGCTCTCTGGAGATGTCTCGCCAGGGCTAAAAAGATCAACTTCCACATAGTTCTGCCCATCCATGTGGGATCTTGCTGCCTTTGCAACCCTAAGGCCAGAATAGTGTTGGGAGCTGCTGGTTGAGATGTTGGGGTGGTCCCTTGCTTGCAGTGTAGTCTTGTGCAGGTTTCCATGACCCTCTTTGCCTTTGCAGTTCTTCAGTGATGCCCGGGAGTCAGAGACCTACCTGAGGAACCTGCAGGACTCCATCAAAAGGAAGTATTCTTGCGACCATAACACGAGTCTGACGCGGCTGGAGGACCTGCTGCAGGACTCCATGGTGGGTTCTCTGCCATCCCTGCCACCCTGAGTGGCCTTCTTGCTCCAACCCAGCAGCATTGCTTGGGGCTTCTTCCTTCCCAAGGAAAACTGGGCTTATTTTATTCCTGCAGCAACACAGTATCATGTAATATGGTTTATTTCCCCATCTGGGTCAATGTTCTGCTTCTTGCTGGAGCTGCTGCATGTGTCTGTACGTGGCCGTGGGGTACAGGCTGTGTGTGACCTCAGCTGTGTGGGTGTAACGCTGCCAATAGTAGCTGGATCTTGGTCGTTACACCAGCTGATGGGTCACTTGTGTTTAGAGGCACCATCCAGCATCTTTCTCTATCCTCGGGGTGAAGACCAGGTGGTGTGTGTTCTCTGTGCACACTCATAGCTTGACCTGGGAGCTGGGTCTTCCCCATAGGTGTCCATCATGCCATCCTGGTCTACATGGAGCCGGTTGTGTTCTACTGATGGAGGTGTCATGCAGAGTTCATAGGATGCTCCTGTTCCTACTCCAGGAACGTGGTGGGATGTGGAGGAAACACCTGTGCTTTATCCAGGCCAAATCCCACGTTAATCCCTCACACTGTGTGGGTGCTGGGAGAGCCAGGGCAGCCTGGCTGCGTGCGGGGACGAGGGCTCGGCAGCGCTGATCTCCAAACACGTGGCCTGGCTGAGCTGTGGTGTAGCAGAGAGCAGACGCTGGGCAATCACACTGTGATCTTCTCATCCAAATTGGCCTGGAAAAAACCAGCCTAAAAGCAAAACCCAAGGAGCAAAGCATGAGATGGTGTTTGAAACCAGGGATCGGGGAGGATTTGGGCTGTGGGTTAACTGCTGAGCTGCTGATAGAAGTGCCAGGAGGTGACATTTGAGTGTGTGGAGGCAGGTGGCTACGTTGACTTTGCTCTTAGTGCACACCACTGATTTCCAGCGGGTCCCCAGTGAAGCTGGGATGCCTTTACTGGGTGTTTGTGATGGGTACATCAGCTGGGCTAGGGCTCTCTGTATTCTCTCCTGGAGGCCTGAGGGCTCCCATCCTCTCTGTCATGGTCTCGGGGTTGTTCTGGTTTGTCCTCCAGTGCTACAAGGAGCAGCCAGTCTGGCTCCTGGGGTCCATGTTTGTGAGCAGAAGTCTAGTAGATGCTGTCTGGGGTGGGAGAGGCTTGTCTGGGCAGCCAGAGAGTGGCCACGATCTCAGGACTGAGCTCAGCTATATTACTCTTTCTTACCTAATAAGTTAAAGTTGTATTTCTTCCAATCATGCTCCCTGGGACAGGCACAGGTAGTTTATTTAATCATTTATTCTTTTCTTTTTCTTTTTTTTATTACCATTAAATGATCCTCCACTAACTGACCCCAAGAGTACCAAGCATGAGGGAGAACATTTTTCTGGGATCCTTTTTTAAGCTTTTTGCAGCCAGAATGGGCTGAGCTGCCACTAATCACACGAGCTGCCAGTGTTGTGATCCGCACACGTCTCCATCGGTGCTGGAGGCTGTTCCAGGGAAGCTTTGCCACCAGTCTCATGGGTTGTCCCATCACTGAACCCAATAGGGACTTGTGGGAATCGATTATGCAGCATCTTCCTCCAACTGGCAGATTTCTACCCAAACACAGAGACCTGTGGGATCACTCCACCACTGCCTCCTTCTCCCAAGATGTTCTATCCACATAATTCATCGTATCCCCATTCCAGCTGTTGGTTTAAACGTGCCTTCACCCTTTGCTTTAGGAAAGGGAGGATGCTTCTGTGGTCTCTCCTCCAGGCAACTAAATGTCCCCAGCTTTGGGCTGGACCTTGTCCTTCTCTTGACCCCTTACCTCTCCCAGGACTTTAATTTTGGTGTATGGTGTGTTCTCTTTTTTTTTTTCCCTTTTGAAAGACAATATTTTCTGGTCCTAACAGCAAAAGAGCCAGAGGTGTGCATGCAGCTTTGCAGAGCAGGGGGAATAGTAATAAAGAGGTCCCACCCCAACTTGAAGTCTGTTCTCCCTTCCATCCCATCTCCTGACCCCTCTTCCTACCCCCTTAGGGCAGCAGGATCCTCCTGATGTGTTTGTGCAGCCCTTGAGATCCCAGCATAGCTCCTGCAGGCCAGCATTGGGGTGGGAGGTGCTGAGATGTCTGGGAGAGATCTCCTCTCCTCTGCCTCCAGCAACCCATCCTTCATCCTTTCTGCCAGGATGAGAAGGAGCAGCTCATCCAGTCGAAGAGCTCTGTCGCCAGCCTGGTGGGACGGTCCAAAACCATCGTTCAGCTCCGACCCAGGAACCCAGAGCACATTGTGAAGAGCACAATCCCCATCAAGGCTGTTTGTGACTATCGGCAGATCGAGGTGAGGGCTGGAAGGGTGTTGCTTTGGAAGAGAGGGGACACCTGGGATAGTTTGAGATGAGCTCTGTGGTGTCTGTCAATGGAAAGGAGGAGCAGAGTGGGAAGACAGGAGGAGGGAAATAGCGTGGCTGTTTTTTCCTGGAGCAGATTTCCAAGTCTCAGATTTATTCTGGGCAGGAGCTGAAGTCCTTTTCCCCAAGGAGGATGGGCTTCATCAGCCTTAGCCAAATCAGCACATGGGTGGTAGTCAACTTCCTTGTCCCTTCCTCTCCAGACACGAGCGTGCTGCACTGCTTGGCACTCTCCCAGGCTTTTGCTTGATTAAAAACTATCTATCTCTGTATTTGTGGGAGCTGGCTCACCCCCACGAGGGGACCTGGCAGCAAGGGCAGGTGTGTGCAGCCCTGCTGCTGGTTTCTGATGGGGTGGGTGGTCTTGGTGCTGCTGCAGATCACCATCTGCAGGAACGATGAGTGTGTGCTGGAGGACAATTCGCAGAGGACCAAGTGGAAGGTGATCAGTCCCACGGGGAACGAGGCCATGGTCCCCTCTGTCTGCTTTCTGATTCCCCCACCCAACAAAGAAGCCATCGAGATGGCCAACAGGTAACTTGCTTGTCTCTACTGCAGGGGAGTCCCAGAGGTGTGGTGGGAAGGTGTTGATGGCATGGGAAGGGGACGGATCTGGGGTGGAAATGGGAGAAGAGCTGGGGTAGAGGAATAGGAGTGGGTGGCACAGCTGATTTGGGGCAAAGTAAGAAATCCCTCATGGTTCTACAGCTCCAAATTCCATCATAGCAACTGCTGTAGTAGCTTGCGAGAGGAAAAATGATGATCTGGGAGGAGGGATCCCTCCAGGGAGCTCTGGCACTGAACAGCAGCAGCATCGCTTGCTGTGGGCTGCTGGGCTGGGATCGCTGCCTCGATGGGCTGCTGGTGAGTGCTGAGCTGGGGAGGTCCAGGGCTGATGGATCTGCTCCTTTCCATGGCAGGGTAGAACAGTTGTACCAGAAAGTGATGGCTCTCTGGCACCAGCTCCACATGAACACAAAGAGCCTCATCTCCTGGAACTACCTGCGGAAGGACATAGCCCTGGTGCAAAGCTTCAGCATGGAGAAGGTACGGTAGGAACTTCTCTGGCTCCAGGGCTGTGTCACTCACTGTCTGGGCTGCTTCATGCAGCTGAGGAAGAAGGGAGATGTTCAAGGGAAGACCAGAGACTGCAAGGTTGGGCAAGTCAAGGGTCTGTGCACCTTGACCAGTGGGAGAACCTGAGCTTGGGGGTTCTGTACAAAGTGATTGTGGATTTTTCCCAATAAAAAGAGCTAGTGAATTGTCATGAGCAGAAGAGATTGTGGACTTAGAGCTTCATTAGTGAGGCTGGAGGAAGGTGTGAAGCTGATGTGAAGGAGCTTGGCTTTTCTCCTTGAAAGAGAAAATACTCACTTGGCGAACGAAGGTGATTAAACTGGGGAAGGTGGTTTCAAGTGACCTGGAGGAAGTTGTTCCCGGTGGTTAAATGTGCTGCTTTTCCACTTGCAGCTCAGATCCTTAGCGCAAGGGGAGTGCCAGCAAGCCATGAAGAGCCTCCAGGCACACTACGAGGACTTCCTACAGGACAGCCGGGACTCGGAGCTCTTCTCGGTGTCGGACCGGCTGCGCCTGGAGGAGGAAGTGGAGTCTTCCAAGGAACACATCCGTCAGCTGCTGGAGTCCATGGAGAACGGTGAGCTTCAAAGGGCTGATGGATTAACCAGGAGTTGTGGGGACTTATAAACAAAGGATTTATGAGATGGCTTCATTTTCTCTTTTTTTCTGAGCTAGCTGGTTGATGGTGTGAGCAGCTGCTCTTTATTTCTCCATCCATTCAAGTGTTCGGCCCTTGTCCAGCGACGTTCCTGCAGACAGGGCTTGGCTTTGCAGCTTCAGCTTCACTGCTGAGTCCTCTTACCCTGATATTGTTGGAAATGGGTTTAGTCATTAGGATTCACACTGAGCAAGGAGTTCTTCCTGCATTTAATCTTTAAGAAAATACACGTGGCAGTGACAGGTGTGACACTGCAACACTGTGTGAGTCCCACTAAGACCAAAGACTCCAACTTCATCATGCCAAGTGCCTTGTGGCTGGACTCATTCCCAGCTGTGTTTGAAGGAGATGATTTGATTAACTTGTTTTCTGTCTGAGCAGAGACACCAAGTGCCTCGGTGTCAGCGCAATGCTGCTCTCTGCTCCAAGGCTTCTGGCAGGTCCCATCTGGGGCAGATACCAAACAGGGTGGTTTGAGCTGCTGTTTTGGTTTGTCTGTGACTTGCAGAAGACAAGGATGAGACCATTGCCAGGACGTATCTCTCCGAGCTGAAGAATATCCGTCTGCGCCTGGAGGAGTGTGAGCAGAGGCTGGTGAGCCGAATCCAGTCCCCGAGCAGTGCCCGAGCAGATGGTGACACTATCCAGGAGAACACCATCCGTATTGCAGAGCAGGAGGTCAGTCCCACTGCTGTGAGATGTGGAAGGGAGGGAGGTGGTGGCTGCTGGTCTTTAGCAGGTGCCAAAGATAGCTTTTAACTTCTCCAGGGTGAATGTGTGGGTGGTGGGTGCTTGACTGTGTGGGGTTTGAGAGGATCTTGCTGCACAGAAAGTAGCAGGAAACCTCTCCAGGTGGGCTCACTGCTCCGCTTCATACCCATCTCCTTTGCAAGGGCAATCCTACTTTTTCTTGGAGTTCTCCTTTCATGTTCTTTCCCTTCCTCCCACAGCGCGTGCAGGAGGATCTGCAGCGACTGCAGTCGGACCTGCGGTTTGTTTCGGAGAGATGCTGCAGCTTCCTCGAGAAGGCGCCTGCGGGGTCCAGCACGCCCCACTTGCGTTCTGAACTTGACTTGATGGTGAACAAGATGGACCAGATGTATGGGCTGTCTTCCATCTACCTGGACAAGTGAGTCAGGATGCGCCTCTGTTTCCAAATATCATTTTCTATTTGCTTGATTCTGCTAAAGACCTTTCTTCTGGGTAGTTAATGACAGAACAAGGGGAAATGGGTTTAAGCTGAAAGAGGGGAGGTTTAGATGAGATATTAGGAAGAAGTTCTTCACTGTGAGGGTGGTCAGACACTGGAACAGGTTGCCCAGAGAAGCTGTGGCTGCTCCTCCCTGGAAGTGTTGAAGGCCAGGCTGGATGAGGCTTTGAGCAACCTGGTCTAGTGGAAGGTGTCCCTGCTGCTGGCAGGGGGGTTGGAACTGGAGGAGCTTTAAGGTCCCTTCCAACCCAAACCATTCTATGATTCTATGATTCTGACCCCCTAACACACCTTGCACTGAGCTCCATCCCTCCAGGGCACACAGTGCAAACAGCTTCATGATCAAGATCGTGTTGAAGTTTTGGATGTCATTGTTCTGCCTCTGTTTGATTTGGCAGGTTGAAGACAGTTGATGTTATCATTCGTAACACCCAAGGAGCCGAGTCTCTGGTCAAAGGGTTTGAGGTTAAGCTGAGCCAAGAGGAGGCAGTTCCTGCTG